CACTAAACCTCGCTGACTCCAATAATACTGGTGACACTCAAGCAACAAGGTATCATATTCTTGTCTTTTGTATGATTTATTTTCAATCTGTCTGATAACAGGTCTTGTTTTAGACAAGATTGTCTGAAATCTGCCATAGAATAGAGCAAGAGCTGTGTCTGTATTCTCTGATGAGTTTTCATTGTCTTTCAAGTTTAGAATACTTTCAGTGGTTTTAGAGAACAAATTGGAAATGTAATTCTGTATTAACGCAATCGCCTTTGACTGACAATGCTTGTATCTCACTAGATAAATTCCACTTTCATTGTATGACGAGTTGTTTTGCATAAAATCTATGTTTGTGTCAATTTTATCTAAGACAGCGAAAAACATTTCACTGTTCACCGACAAAGTGGATGCATCCAATTTTTCCGTAATCACGTCAATTTCCTTGAAATACTTAACATACTCTGTAATGCCATCGATTGTCGCATTTAACTGCTTTTGATCAAAAATAAGTTGTTCACTAGCTTCATATAAAGAAGTGGTTTTACTGGAAACTTCAGTATACTGTTTATAAAGTGCAGAGAAATCGTCCAATGTTTCTTCTATCTGAGAACAAACATTTTGGCATTCAGATTTCCTTGATTTTAACTCATCAAGATATAAATTGTATTTCATATCATACATGGATACATATTTTCTTTCCAGAAATAAGAAATGATCAAGTAATTCCTGATACTTCTCTATCGGAGGGATATTCTCCTGAGACTTCTGCTCTTGTAACTTGTCGCCGTCACTTGTATTGGATTGTAGATTCGACAATGGAAAAAACGAAGACACAATGATTTCTAAATTTGTCAAACAATCCTTTTGACATTCTGTTAATGGGGCCAAGGAATTGTCACTCTGGTCCCACTGAATAAGGTTATGTGGAATTACCTTCGTATGAGACATTTTATTTGCAGTAGAGATTTTCAATTATTGATATAATACAATGTCTCGTTTACACATAATTCAATATGTAGTCCAAAATTAAATTTAAGTGCGCACATTTACGAATCGACACAATTCTAGAAACTGCGATTAGCACGAAACGTTTGGAAATGTTGACGTATAATAATCAATAATCTTTCGCAGGCTCAATCGGCCTAATGTAATCGACCTTATCGATGTATTTTCAATACAATTGATAAATCTCTACCTGACTTATTGAGGTTAATATTATTATATTGGCATGTATTTTTTATACATCATTTGGAAAAAAATCATGTAGTATAATAATTGTTTCGTCATGTAACAAAATCTCCCTTACTATTATAAGTTTATTACGGCGTTTATTATAGATAGAGACAACACATGTAGCATTTATATTATACCGACAGTAAGTAATCTTATGCTATAAAGTGCGCGCTACAGACATCTATGTCTAATTATATACATATATATTTTTTAATTAAAATAATACAGACCTGTGTGTCTTATTGTACAAATTATATAAATAATAGATTTTTATAAATTGTATGCATTTCCGTTATTTTCATTTCTGAATCATTTTTATTCATAAAACCTTTTATTTCTATTCTTATAACTTAAAAAATATTATAATATATATAAATATG